CCCATATACCGAGGGTGGTGGGTTCGAACCTGGCCCTGGCCAAAACTGCAACAACAGCAACAACAACAAATGGTCAAACTAAAAAATTATAGGGGAAGATATTAAAAGATTAAACATGGTTGTGGAAATTATTAAAACTTGAAATGAGCAAGTGTGATTGTATTTCAAATAGGATATTAGGGTATATCCCACAGACTATAAATAAGGCTGATATTGATCTAGAACAAAGATTAGCAAATTTTATTAATTAATTAATTAATTTTTTTTTTTGGAGACAACATCTCACTCTATTGCCCTGGGTGGAGTGCCATAGCTCACGTAGCTCACAGTAACCTCAAACTCTTGGGTTCAAGTGATCTTCTTGCCTCAGCCTCCCAACTAGCTGAGACAACAGAGGCCTGTCACAATGCCTGGCTATTTTTAGAAATAGAGTCTCACTCTTGCTCAGGCTGATCTTGAACTCCTGAGCTCAAGCATCCCACCCACCTCAGCCTCACAGAGTGCTAGGATTACAGGTGTGAAGTATTGTAACTGAAATGGACCAGAGAGGAAATATGTTTGGAGTGATGGCCATATAGTCTATCAAAATTGCTCAATCCTGCCATTTTGGCATTGTCATAGACTAGACACCATATAAACAAATGGGCATGGCTGTGTTCCAGTAAGACTTTATTTACAGGTGCATTTTACAAGGGTACATGTCAAATCTACTACGTGTAGAGTATAAATGTCTTAACACAGTAATTAAGAAAGTGCAGTGAAGGCCGTGTTAACCTGTTTGATGAAAGTATTTCAAATTGTATATAAAACCAGCACATTGTACCCCATAAGTGCATTAATATACACAGCAATGATTTAATTTAAAAAGGAATAAATTTAAAAGAGAATTTAAAGACTGAACGTAGAATGACAACCTTTTGTAAAGTTGAATACAACTAAAATCTTATAATGTGGTATTTAGGAAAATACACAAATGTGTGTGTATAATACATTCAGTAACGCTAAAGAAAAGCAAGGGAATGATAAAAAAAAAAAAAAGACTTTATTTACAGAAGTAATTGGCAGGTGAGATATGGCCCACTGGTTTGACCACCTGTGCTCTAGAATAAATTGTTAAATGGGTGTTTTGTGAGTACTTAGGGAACTAGTGGGAACTGGGGACCAATCTGTGTTCTTTGAGAAAAGGTCTGGCTGGGGCACTTCTTCATTGCTTTACAGCAGGGTTACTGTTACGCAAGATCAAAAGTATGGTTTATTTTTACTTCATTGAGGCAGTTGGCAGAATGCTTCAAAAGAAGCTTTTGTAGAAGATGGGGAAATGTGGACCACTGCAGTGAGGTAGTTAACTCTTAGATGCCTGCTATCTTTGAGCTGACGAGAAGCACTGGCTGTTGGCAGCAAAGGAATGCTGTCCTCAAAGAGGACCATAATTTCCTACGAACCCCAGGGAGTGACCTGCTCAGTCACTGAAATGTTCTGCATGTTTAATCAATGTTAAAAGTAAGCCCTTTATGTCTAGCAGTTTTCCAACAATTTCAACATTTTGGGCCCACCAACCATTTAAGTGAACACTAAACTAGAGATGCCTAAGGACCAAAAGTTGTAGTCACAAAGTCTGTATGTACACTTGCCCTTCAGACATACTTGATGTCACAATACTTATTCACGTTTTCCAGAAAATGTTAAGTGCTATTTTAGAACTTAATGTAAAAAAAAGAATGGGGGAAAAAATCAAGAGCTTGTGGCTAATGGGTCACAGAGGACGAGGCGGGCAGAAGCAGGAATAACTCAGTGAGAAGGGAGAGCTGGGACTTGGTATCAGCTTCTAAGCTGGTATCAGAAGCTCAGCTTGGTCTGGCTTAAACAAGAGAGAGAAAAAGACAAGGGGAGAAGGAGGAAGAGGCTGGGTAGCGAAGGTGGAGATTCTTAGTGATTTATTAGCTTCTGAGACTGAAAAGTCCAGAAATCTGGCTAGTTTCCAAGGACATATATACTGTCACCCAGTTCAAGACCTGGTTTCTCTCTGCTCTGATTTCCCTAGTTTTGGCCCCACTCTCATTTTCACACAGTGACCTCCAGCAGCTCTTCCCATTATTTTAACAAAACAGCTGTGGCCATTCCTGCCCTCACGCATTTTGGGAATCCCTGTGGAAGAGAACTAAATGTCTTTTTCCCAGAAGCCTCAGGGCCTATCTCTTTCACTTTCATTGACTCTGGTTAGTTTATGTGTCATTCCTGAACCAATCATTGTAGCTGTAGAAGAAGAGTATGCTAATTGGTTTTTGTCAATCAAAGTCCCTCCCCAGAGCTGGATGGGGAGGTGGTGGGTGTCAGCCCCACCAGACTCTGGGATGAGGAGTGGGGAATGGCTGTTTTCTCAAAGGATATTTGGTGTCCTGCTGCCAGGAGGTGGCGGGGTAAGGGGAAGTGTAAAATGTGGAGCATCAGGCTTGGCACCTGTGGCTCAAGTGGCTAAGGCGCCAGCCACGTATACCCAAGGTGGCGGGTTTGAATCCAGCCCAGCTCACCAAACAGCAATGACGGCTGCAACCAAAAAATAGCCGGGCATTGTGGTGGGCGCCTGTAGTCCCAGCTACTCGAGAGGCTGAGGCAAGAGACTCACTTGAGCCCAGGAGTTGGAGGTTGCTGTGAGCTGTGATGCCATGGCACTCTACCCAGGGCAACAGCTTGAGGCTCCTGTCTCACAAAAAAAAAAATGTGGAGCATCAAATAGCTGTGTAACACAAAAGCTATGACAAATGACAGCACAGAAGAAAACCACCAGGGTGGCTATGTGTGCAAAGCTGGAATGGTGACATCCATCACTGATGTTCATGGTCACCACCCTGAGACACCTAGGAAAGATTAAATTGTATTTGATTTACTAAGACATGGAATAAAGTTGGTAGATGTTAGAAAGGTTTTTATGTGTGTTTTAATAAACAACAGTGTTTTTAGGACCTAAACTAAGCCAACTGGAAAGTTCGTTTTACCATATCAGGAATCTTTTTTTTTTTTTTAATGTTTCATATTTCTTTGTGCTCAGTCTGAATCTAGTCATGTATTTGTGAAATGTTTTTAAGAGCTATGTTTGAACTATGCCTCATTAATATCTTACCAAAGCAAGTTTCAGTTATTGATGAAAATATTGTTTTTGCTTCTGTGTAGAATGCATACACAGCCACAGCTATCAACAGCACCAACTTCTGCACCTCAGCAAAGGATGCCTTTGTCATTCTTGTGGAGAATGCTTTGCGGGTGGCTGCCATCAACACCGTGGGAGATTTCATGTTATTCCTAGGCAAGGTAAGACCAAGTATTTTGTCTGAGACACACAGTAAGTTTTTGGATGTATATATGGTCTTTTAATTTTAAAATACCTAGCTACATCATTAAAATAATATATAGGACCAGGTGCAGTGGCTCATTCCTTTAATCCTGGCATTCTGAGAGGCTGAGATGGGCACATTGCTTGGGCTTAGGAGTTTGAGACCAGCCTGAGCAAGAGCAAGACCCCATTTCTACTAAAAATACAAAAATCAGCCAGGCATTGTAGTGGGCACCTACAGTCCCAGCTAATCGGGAGGCTGAGGAAAGAGGATGACTTGAGCCCAAGAGTTTGAAGTGCTGTGAGGTATGATGACACTATGAACTCTATCCAGGGTGACAAAGTGAGATTCTGTCTCAAAAAAAACTATATATGGATACACACACACACACACACACGTATGTATATACAATATATATGTAGCAAGCCCTTTAAATGTGTCAGGTGTTGTTATAAGAACTTTACATATTTTGTATGCACTTAAGCTTCACAATAAATGTGTAAGGTCAGGTCTGTTACTGTCCTCACTTTATAGATGGGAAAACTGAGGTATGGGATAGCTAAGTAATTTGTCGTGTTTCTCCTTACACGTTCTGAACTAGAAAGAATTAGGGGAAAGTTTGCACAATAGTTAGGAGTACTGCATCTGGAACCCAGCTATCTGGATTGACATCCTGCCTCTGTCATTTACAGCTCTGTGACTTGAGACAGGTTAAATAATCACTCTGTGCCTCACTTTGCTCATCCGTAACATTGCGATTATAATAGAGCCAAATTCCTTGTGAGGATTAGGTTGGCGAATACATGTATCGCCAACGTGTAGGGTATCTAGGACAGTGCTTGACACACGTGAGCTCTGGGTAAACAGTAGTTTTTGTTGTTGTTCCAGTATTATATATAAACTCCTTTAAAATAGAGCTGTTAAGGAATGAGACTTACACTTTGCTTAGAAGCGTCTGAGAAGAGGCAGTTTGGTCTATGCTATTAAAATCTGCAAAATAATAAACAGCATCCTGATTAGATTCCTTTATAATTTTTTTTTAAGCCACACATTACTCAGAAAACTTGAGAAAGTGAGAAAAGAGAAAGACTCATCCTATTATCACTATAATAAATAACTCTTATTTCTCTATATTCCCTTCCAGTGGTTTTCTCACAGGCTTGCATTTCTGTAGGATAACAATCATGTCATATATATCCTTCTGCCCTGCCCTTTTTAGTTTACATCATGACATATACATTTTCTATCTTGCTTTGAAATCTTGATAATTATTCATTATCACAAAGGTAAATATTCTACCAAATGCTATTCTTAAACATTCTCTTATTAGTGAAGCCTTAGGTTGCCTTAACCATGGTGCTTTTAAAATGTTTTTCAAAAGAAAACATATGTGGTGTGTAGAAGCATAGCACTGTGCCATTTGAAGGGGATAGGTTTTCAGGCAATTGTTATCTGAAAAGAATCAAGAATAAAACTATATAGATAATTATTTTTAAAATTTGTAATTAAATTTATATTATGACTTGAATTTGTTCTTGTCATGTTTTTGCACAGAAGGAAACTTTTTTGTAGTCAAGATAGAATGAGTTATTCCATGTTAAGACTGAAAATAATATCTGACTCACTTAATAAGTTTAGATGCTAACTCGGCACCTGTAGCTCAAGTGGCTAAGGCACCAGCTACATACACCAGAGCTGGCCGGTTCAAATCCCGCCCAGGTCTGCCAAACAACAATGACAACTACAACCAAAAAAATAGCCGGGCATTGTGGCAGGTGCTGGTAGTCTCAGCTACTTAGGAGGCTGAGGCAAGAGAATCACTTAAGCCCAGGAGTTAGAGGTTGCTGTGAGCTGTGACATCACAGCACTTTACCCAGGACGACAGCTTGAGGCTCTGTCTCCAAAAAAAAAAGTTTAGATGCTGTATGACTGAGGCTTCAGAGTATTTTTATTTTTGTTTATATATTTGTAATTTATTCCCATAGGTAGTAGGAAACAATTTACAATAAAAGCACATATAAATGTCAATTTTCAAAAGGGAAAAAATAAGACATAAAGAGGAATAAGGGAGAATATTATACTAAGTGACAATATTTGATGTTGGTGGTGATGTTAGTAAACTCAGTTTAAGACACGAGCTGGGCACCGAGCACTAAGTGAAGTGCTTTAGTGATGTGTTGTATTTGATCTGCCCCTATAAGGTAAGCTACTGTCATCTCCATTTTGTAGTACAGGAATCCAAAGTTTGGAGAGCTAATTAAGTTGGCCAAATTTAGAGAGCTAGACTGTGGCAGAGCTGGAGTTCAAAATCAGGTCTGTCTGACGTCTAGGTTATTAATCACTGTGTGCTATAATTGCCTCAGCTGATATTAAATTTGCTCTTGGACGTTTTTTAAAAAAAAATCAAAACCTTTTAATTCAGTAATTCTGGTAATGGTAAACTACTCCTGGAAATAGTTCTGAATACAGAAAAAGGCTGCCTAATTTAAATAGTGACCAATTGTAAACAATCTAATGCATAACAATAGAGAAATGGTTGAGAATAATAGTCAACTATTATTCACCTGCCAAACTATGTTTTCTATTAAAAATGTATAATATGATGAAGAAATGCATATGATAAAGTAAGTGAAAAGGCTGAGTGAAATTACTGTGCTATCTGTACTAAATGTGTATTTAGTATATAAATAAATGTGTACAAGAAATAGATGGAAAATTAATGTCTCAAATGGTAACAATGAACAGTGACTGCCTTTGGATATTGAAAATATGGATGATTCCAAACTCTTCCCCCCACCTTGCCATAATAAAAGAATATTCTCTATATTGAGTACAAATTCCTTTTATAATGAAAAATATGTAGATGATAAAAATAATGTTTTAAAGTTGGCTTTGAGTTTTTTAGCAGCCTAGTAACCTGTCAGTTTTTCTCTTTAGTTTATCATGTTCTTTTTTTCATTCAATAATTATTTCTAGAAGTCACACTAGTAATGTGCTAGGGGCTGTTACAGATTATTTAATAAATAGAATCTCAATAAATAGAATTTACCTAGTAGAAAAGGCAGTTTTGGATCCCTCTTTTCACTTGGTATCATATTATAAGCATTTCTTATCTTACTAAAACTTCTCTAAATATAGTTATGTGATATGATTATTGTGTCATTTATTTGATCTCAGTTGTATTCTGGTTTTATGGTTAAACTACTCTCAATTTTTTATAATCTAAAGAATGTATACACATTCTCGCCCATGTCAATACTTAGTTCATAGAGCAGAATTTTAGAGTTAGAATTAAGATTCTTGGTGTACATATTACCAAATGCTTTCCAGAAAGATATACTTTTAATAATATAATACTTATTAAAATGACTTTAGAAACCATAAAAGATAAGTACATCTTTTTTAATTGAGAAATTCATAAAAGAGAAAAAAAGAGGGAAATCATCTGTATTTCTAACATATTAAAATAATCATTCTGTAGTTTCTCTTTTTGAAGAATATAGTTCTGGTCATATAATATAGTAAATCCTCTGAAAAGAATTTTTTTCATTATAATTAAATGGCTACTACTGTGCAGAAATAGTTTTTGATCAAGTAGTCGAACTAAATAGTTTATAATAAACATTATAAAAGATGATGTCAAGAACAAACTACTGATACGTGCAGCAATTCGAATAAATCTTGAGGGAATCCAATTCCAGAGGATTAATACTACATGATTCCATTATATAACATTATAGAAGTGACAACATTATGGGAATGGAAAATGGATTTGTGGTTACCCAGTTGGAAATGGAGTTGAGTGGAAGGGGGGATAGCCATGAAAGGGCTAAGTGGGTGATTTCCATGATGGTGGGTGTGTTCTCCACCTTGACTGTATCAGTATCCTGGTTGTGATACTGATACAGTGTCTCAGTAGCTTTAGAAGATGTTACCGTTGAAGGGAACTGGCTTAAGGGTACCTGGATTGCTCTGTGTTATTTCTCACAATTGCACATGAATTCACATTACCTGAAAACCCAAAATTCAGAGGTTTTGAAACCTCTGAAAAAAAAGGAGACAGTGTCAGAAGTTCCATTTCTACGGAGTCCCAACAGCGTTTATGGAATAGTAAATTAGATTTGGAAGGGACCTTAGCTCCTCTTATTAATGGCTTGTGACCTATGATCATTAACCTGTAAGGTCCTAATGATAAGAATAGAGGTTTACAAATGATTTAAATATTTTTAAGTCTAAAAGAATATTGATGTTTGCCTCAATAAAGCTATCCTAAAAAACTCCCTAAATCTCAAGTTCCTTTCCTTCTATGTGGAATTATTTTACTTCTATTTAGTAATACCTTTTCTCACACTAATTATATCTTCTAGTTGACAATTTTTTTGACTTGGATTTAAAAAATAAGAATATGAATTATTACTTATAAAAGCTATTTTATTGGCAAACAAAATCTTTTTTTTAGAGACAGAGTTTCCATTTTATTGCCCATGGTAGACTGCCATGGTGTCACATAGCTCACAGCAACCTCCACCTCTTGGGCTTAGGCGGTTCTCTTGTCTCAGCCTCCCGAGTATCTGGGACTGCAGGCGCCCACCACAATGCCCAGTTATTTTTTTGTTGCAGTTTGGCCAGGGCTGGGTTTGAAGCTGCCACCCTCGGTATAGGGGGCCAGCGCCCTGCCCACTGAGCCACAGGTGCTGCCCAAATAAAATCTTTTAAAATGCAGTCTCTGTAGGGCGTTTAGTACTATCTAAGGACATCATAAATGCAGAATTTATGATGTCAAAAAAAAAAAAAAAAGGAAAGAGGAGGGAGGGAGGAATATTGCCAGGCATTGCATTAAAGCTTTCAGAATGCTTATTTTAACAATTGTGGGATGTATATAGTATTTTATCTCTTTTAAAGGTGGGAAAACAGGCACAGAATGGTTAAATGAACTCAGATTTACTAAACTAATTCTGTAATTCAAATGTGCATGTTTTCTTCCTCCAAAGCTGGCATTCGTTCCTTCCTGCTTCTCACATCCTACCCTATATATGAAACTCTTCTACTGAATTCCCAATAATTTATCCTCTAGAGTGTCTACACATTTAAAATCATACATCCTATTAGAAAAAAAAGTTTGAGCACCGTTCCCCAGTATACTTACATGTATTTATTAACGATTATGTATAACTTACTAATATATGCATTATAAAGATTACTAAAAAAGGAATTTTAAGTGTACGAGAAATATAAATAGAAGTCTCAGGACTTCTGCATCCCATTGAATATGGTGTATGCATCCCAGCACAGAGATTGTTGATATTCTTGAGGTGCAGACTATGGAATTTATCTGTGCCTGGCATATTTTTAAATGCATATTTTTAGGCTTCATCTTGAATCCAATCAGACTTTCTGGGCTTAGGGCACAAGAATCTGCATACCTAGCCTTTCTATAGTTGAAGAACCATTAATGTATTTTCTGCTTGAATAAGCGCATGACACCTTTTCATTGTATTTGGGAGTAATTATTACATTTTGGGGGACATTTTCTGGCTAAACATCACTAGTTCTTGAAGTTGTTTTTTTGTTTGTTTTTTGTTTCTGAGACAGAGTCTCACTTTGTTGCCCTAAGATGAGTGCTGTGATATCATAGCTCACAGCAACCTCAAATTCTTGTGGTCAAGTGATCCTCTTGCCTCAGCCTCCCAAGTAGGTGGGATTATAGGCACCCTCCACAACACCTGGCTATTTTTCAGACAGGGGGTCTTGATCTTGTTCAGGCTGGTCTCAAACTCCTGAGCCCAGGCAATCCGCTCCCCTCAGCCTCCCAGAATGCTAGGATTACAGGCGTGAGCCACTGCCCCGGCATTGAAATTTTGTGCATGACAATATCAAGCCTTCCATATCAGCAGCTTTTTATCTCAACATTTTGTCTGCTTGAACCATACCTTTTTCTTATAATTGACTTTATCATTTCACATGTGGTTAACTTTTAATGGCATGATGAGAGCATCAGGAACTTCAGCCCTCCAATAGAGGGGATGGGCAAAATTTGGAGAGCGTTAAGAAATAACTCATTCTAAAATTGAAACCAGGAGAATGGAAGAAAATGAATATAATTAACCATCTGTGAAACTCACCCCAGAAAATAAGTCACTATAAAATGAGATTCTTAAAAAATGGTTGAGAGGAGTCTTCCAAAGCTTGGGCAGACCCAGATTTGCTCCCTAAAAGCATCTGATAGAGGATCGATTTAGAGCTTAACCAGTGTACTATCTAATGCATCTTAACTCCTGGTTAAGATAATGGAGAATGAGAGATGCTTTGATGCTGATAAATATTGGGGAAAACAATATTTATCCCTGTCCTTAGCACTAGACAAGAAAAAGCTGCTGTGATTCTTTGAGGACCCTTTCTTTTCCTTCATTTAAAGCCTGATAATAGACCAAGTAAAGGGCTGGGTAAGAGTGTACTGGAATTAAATATAACCCATCCTATTGTGTAGCAAGATAAAGAGCATTTGCTGAGTTTTCATCTGGAAAGAGCACTGGAGTTGGCATCATAAGACCATCATTCAATGGCATCTATCTGCTCTTTTTCCCCATTGCAATCTTAGGGCAGGTTGCCTAGCAGCTCTGAGCATGTTTCTCCATCTATATAATGAGATGATAACGTTTGCCATAAACCACGCATAGGGTTATTGAAAATAACAAAGTGTACTTAAAAGAACCTTAGGCTCGGCGCCTGTGGCTCAAGTGGCTAAGGCACCAGCCACGTACACCTGAGCTGGCGGGTTCGAATCCAGCCCAGGCCCACCAAACAATGAAGCTGCAACCAAAAAATAGCTGGGTGTTGTGGCAGGTGCCTGTAGTCCCAGCTACTTGGGAGGTGGAGGCAGGAGACTCGCTTGAGCCCAGGAGTTAGAGGTTGCTGTGAGCTGTGATGCCATGGCACTCTACCCAGGGTGACAGCTTGAGGCTCTGTCTCAAAAAAAAAAAAGAACCTTAAACAATTTAAAGTGCTACGTGTGACATGATGAGAGTAGGTGGTTCTTGACAATAAGTAAGTTGGCTGTTCCTTTTCTTTTAGCATAGATGTTTTTGGCACCCTCTTTCTTCACAGCTAGTCCAACTCTAAACTTCATGGCAAATTATATTAAATTTGCTACATGTTCCATGGGAAATAAAATATTGAACACAAAAAGTTCTAAGAATTGAGATGTTTGTTGCTACATTATTCCAATAGCAGGAAAAAGGTTAAATAAATTTCAAGTCACCCATAAAATGAAATTATGTAACTGAGTAAATATTTATAAAGTATTTCTAATGATACTTTAAATATTAATGAAAAGCTTTTAATGATGTGTTTGTGTAATACTGCGGCTATGTGAAAATGCTTAGAAACATGCACACCAATACAGTGAGTGTTAAGAATGTGTAATTTTTTTCTAAAATATGCATACATTTATCTTAAAAATAGTCACTGATTCTAAACAGGTTAAGTTTTAGGGAGCAGAGTAACATTTGGAAAACTTGGTTTTCTTTGATGTCATTAGAATAAAGGATGACTTTTTGATTTATATTATGTGACATTCATGTAGAACTGTGTGTATATGGGGGTATATGGCTTATACTTCCTAATTTGAGATGGAAGGCATTTACGCAATCATCATTTGTAAATAGTGAAGAGAATTTTAAGTCTGCAAATGATGAAGAAAGGGTGGCTTTCTGCAGCAGGGTGTTAACGGTGGTCCTTGTTCCCTCTGCTTCAGGTGCTGATCGTCTGCAGCACAGGCTTGGCTGGGATTATGCTGCTCAACTACCAGCAGGATTACACAGTATGGGTGCTGCCTCTGATCATCGTCTGCCTCTTTGCTTTCCTAGTCGCTCATTGCTTCCTGTCCATTTATGAAATGGTAGTGGATGTATTATTCTTGTGTTTTGCCGTTGATACAAAATACAATGATGGGAGCCCTGGTAGAGAATTCTATATGGATAAAGTGCTTATGGTAAGTACTCTAACTGCCCTCTGCTGCTTTAGGGATAAAAATACTAATAAAAGTGTGTTGCGCAGCATTCTCTATATTTAACTCACACTGTATGCAACTGAGTAATTCCAAATTAAACCAGTAACACTCGCTCATGAATGAGGTTATTCTTGAGAAAGTCAGGGAAAAAGGCCTTCCTGGGGCCTGGAGGAGACCATTTCAGATCCACTTACTGGAGCAGTACTCATTACAAGTCCTAAATTCACACCATTCTCCCCTGCTGCCCCCATCTCTGCAGAGTAGTTGGATTTGAATTGACTTTTTAAAACTAACTTCTAGTCCTTGAATTGGAATATTTGGCCACTGATGTTCTAAGTGCCTTTTCTAAAAATGAGACTTAACACAAAAAAGTCTTATTTCCCAGGTCCTAGTGCCTGCCTTTTTTCATCCACCACTGTTCAAATGTTATTGCTGTTAACTCTAGTTAAAACTTTATCATCTGGCTCGGCGCCTGTGGCTCAAGCGGCTAAGGCACCAGCCACATACACCTAAGGTGGCAGGTTCGAATCCCCAGCCTGGGCCCGCCAAACAACAATGATGGCTGCAACCAAAAAATGGCCAGGCATTGTGGTGGGCGCCTGTAGTCCCAGCTACTTGGGAGGCTGAAGCAGGAGACTCGCTTGAGCCCAGGAGTTGGAGGTTGCTGTGAGCTGTGATGCCATGACACTTTACCCAGGGGGATAGCTTGAGGCTCCGTCTAAAAAAAAAAAAACAAAAAAAACTTTATCATCTGAAATATGCTAGGCCAAATTTAAAGCATTTTATAATGAATACAGATCTATAATGATCACAGATAGTGGCTCATGATTGGTAGACTATGTTGTTTTTCATTAATCAACATCTGACCTTAACACTGATACTACATTTATATTTTTTATGGTTTGGTAGTCTCTGCAACTTGCCTATATTAGGACATCAGTTAAAATGTTTACAAAATTAGAAAACCATATTAAAATGATTTGAGTACTCTTATCACCCATTAAAGATGCATTTTTTTTTGGCCAGGGCTGGGTTTGAACTCGCCACCTCTGGTATATGGGGCCAGCACCCTACTCCTTTGAGCCACAGGTGCTGCCCTAAAGATGTTTTAATAATGGTACTTTGCTAGCAAGCTGTGAAATATTCCTATTCCTAATGGGTAAAGGAGCACATTTTATCCAGTTAAATCTAAAATGAGTATATTAATAAATAAGCTAGATTTTTTTTTCAATAACAAAATTTTCTTTCTTTCTTTTTTTTTTTTTTTTGAGACAGAGCCTCAAGCTGTTGCCCTGGGTAGTGTGCCATGGCATCACAGCTCACAGCAACCTCCAACTCCTGGGCTCAAGCGAGTCTCCTATCTCAACCTCCCAAGTGGCTGGGACCACAGGTGCCCACCACAACGCCTGGCTCTTTTTTGGTTGCAGCCGTCATTGTTGTTTGGCGGGCCTGGGCTAGATTCTAACCTGCCACCTTAGGTGTATGTGGCTGGCACCCTGGCCACCTGAGCCACAGGCATCGAGCCAATAACAAAAATTTCTAAACAATTTAGCTGACCTATTTAATATTTATTTCCCCCTTTTCTGAGAACATCAGCCAAATTTGTGATATTTTCTTAATGTCTAAATTAATTCTGTTTGTTTTCATAATGGCATTTAACATAAGCATTGCATCTCTTTTTGTGATTAAAGCATTTAGAAGAAGAGTTGTTTTTTTTTAAGCCACTGATAGACAGCAGAATAAAAAAATACAATTTTTTTCATTTCATTTTCTCTGTAAGAATAGTGAGGATATTTAATGGAGAAGTGCTCCATAAACTTTGGCAGAATAGAAATGTTTCCTTTGAGGCGTTTTCCCATTTTAACTACTTCTAATCAAAGGTTCTGGTTGATACATTCTGCTTTCCTGCTTTATGAAGTAAATCAAGGCCAGGTAGACTTTTCTTAAAAAAAAAAAAAACACAGCTTATTTATGGTTTGGTAAAAAACAGTATTTTGTGCTTAGCAGTATCAATGCTTTCTTTGACCTTTTATGATTATTATAAAGTGGAGGCTTATGGAGTAACATGTCTTACTGTTTCATTTAACCTTGATATAGAAAAACATAAAGCAACAAATAAGACGATATTCTAAGTGTGAGAACCTAGTCTTTGAAAAATGCTAGACATTTTCTCTTTCACATAGAACTAACATTGTCTCTTAGTGTCTTAGTGAGATTGTCAGAGTGAATGGATGAAAAGAAGACTCTTTTATCAACAGATTGCAATCCATTCCTACAAATCTAGCAGCTCTATATGTGATACTAAACTTTATTTATGCTGTTTTGAGGCCGTCCATGTACCAAGACGAGTCAAAAATGTAAATGTCCTTTAGAATTCATCTGTTAACAGAATCTGAAAGGACCCCAAGAATTTATACAATTTGGTCCATATTTTGCAGGAATTTGTGGAGAACAGTAGGAAAGCAATGAAGGAAGCTGGTAAGGGAGGCGCCGCTGATGCCAGAGAGCTAAAGCCGATGGTAGGTGGCGATGAGGAGGTGGCTGCCCTCCAAGAGTTTCACTTTCACTTCCTCTCTCTCTCTGTCTTCACTGACTGCACTTCTTCGGGAGAAGCTTTTGTTATCTGTATCACGCAGGACGTGCTGCTCTTTCTGTTTGTGTGCTTACCCATCACTTGGATGGCAGAATTCTTGTCACAACTGAGACCACCTTCTGTAAAAGTAAGCTGAAAGGAACAGCATCTTCCCCCGTGCTCGTGGGGGCTGGGGGCTGATAGTTCTGTCCCTGAAGTAAAACCGATGTTTCTCGTGTTGCCTTGCTGTCGCTGTTCAGTCAGACTGAACATATGGGTATGCGCTTGGGCCGATGGTGGGATTTCCATCCTTACGGAAGATCATAATAGCCATTCCTTTCAACTTGCTAGAACTCACATGCTCCCCCCTTTGAAGGTATTGTTCCGTTAACATTGCTGTCGTTCCCCCTTTGCTGACTTGTTCTTTTGTTGCCTATATTGTACTTTCTTTATTTCTTCAGCTGTTTTTTAGTAGCAAACAAGGCTGTTCCATCAACACGCACATTTCCACCCAGTGAGTCAGTCTGGTCTTCTCACAGCTTAATGTTGAGAAGGATAAATTACCTCTGGTCAGTGGTTTTTTTATATATATATATATAGAAAGAGAGAGAGAGAGAGAGAGAGGGATAGATAGATGTCCTCACTCCACTTTGATTTCCATAAAGCAACTTAATCAGCCTAAGAATCCTGAGTTGCTTTTTCTCCCTGTAGGATGACAACAGAGGCCTGTAGCACATTTTGGCCTAATTCCTACCTTATTTTACACATGTATTGTTTTTTAAATACCATGCTTATTTCCAAATATCATATAATTGCCTATATCCTTCAAGAAGTAATTTTAAATAGTGTGCCACCTGATTATTTATGATGTCTAAAAGTGTGAGGTGGAGACTTGACTTTCTTCCTTACCCTTTAATAAATGGTTCGATTTACTAAGTTTTGAACCTAAGAAGTATATAGTATAAAACATGTTCATTTAAACATAAAGAACAGGGAGGCACCTGTGGCTCAGTGAGTAGGGCGCCGGCCCCATATACCGAGGGTGGCGGGTTCAAACCTGGCCCCCGCCAAACTGCAACTAAATTAATGAATAAATAAATAAATAAATAAATAAAATATAAGAACAAAGGAAGTAGGCTCACATGTGGGGGGCGGGAATGCTGTATGTGCGTATATACAAAATAATTACATATTCAACCTAAATTAAAGGCCCAGCAGAATGTTTAGATATAAGCTTTTTCTTCTATTACCCTTTCCAGTGCCTATTTTGGTGTTGCTATTAACAGCATGAATGATTATAAAGTCAGACTTAATGTTTAGAGTCCCAAAGCACAGGTCACTCTAGTCACAAATAAAGGACTGTGGAATATCCACGTAGTTCCTTACCGTACATGTATATTCTGCAAAAGTGGATTGCGTGGGTACAGGGGAGCTCCCCAGTCCCCTCCCCAGCCATAGTCTTTTCCTGTTCCCCTCCCCTTCTTTCTGTGTCCCTCTAACTTCCGATAGGATGAGGGGTATAGCAGTGAAGATTCTGCCAACCCAGTAGTCACGGAGAAATGAGGAAGACTTTCCTACCTTCTACAGCTTGGTTGTCCTAATAGTTCAGAAAATAAAGATTCCAAGCCTAAAATGTAAAAGGACATATAAAATTTTAAAATGTAAACCAGCCTATCCCCTCTTTTCTATGTTTCTAGTGATTAAAGCTTCCATTAAATCATTCTTCAGTAATAAGCATTTAAGAAAAAAAGAAGTTATTATAATAGCTGGGTATAGTGGTGTACACCAGTAGTCGCAGCTACTTGGGAGGTTGAGGCAAGAGGATCACTAGCCCAGGAATTTGTGGTTATAGTGAGCTATGATTGTACCACTGCACTCCAGCCTCAGCCACAGAGCCAGACCCTGTCTCTTTAAAAAAAAAAAAAAAAAAAGAAAAGAAACTACAAAGAAAAGGAAGGGAGAAAAATATTTGAAGGTTGAATAGCTAATTTGGCCATGAATCGACATTTATTTTCAGCGTGTTCTTTAGTGAATGATAGAGGAGCTGTGGTAGACCAGAATACAAGTGTACCTACCTTATCTAAACCCCTAACCTATAGGTAATAATCATAGGAGATTTAGGTTTTGCCCAAGTTATATGGTATTCTCCAGGAAGCCAAACTTTTAGAATTTTTTCCCTAGTAATAGTCATTTACCTCAGTTCATTAAAATCTCCATTTATTTTTTGTTTTCATTTTATGTTCATCAGTTCATCGCTTGCAGATTAATGGCAAAAACCCTCTGCTGTGTCCCAAAATACATCTTTTCTGTGCATTGTTTTTCTGGTGCTTTGGACATTGTAGCATTAGGTTCCTAAGAGTGATGCTTTAAATGGTTAAAAAATTCCTGTATTCAAGCCCATCAATATACCCTTTCTTAATCTCCCTTTCACAGCCTGCATGATTAGAGTTGGCTCCTCCCACCACCTTTCCCTTCTATGTGTTTTTAAACAATTATCTGAGAAATTCCCTCTCTCCCCCTAAAAAATTGGGGGATCGATAGAATTTGGAATTGCTTATTGTATTTGCTTCTTTTAATTAACATACT